ATGTAAATTCATGATTAATGAAAGATTATCTTTGGACATGAAAATTTGCTTCCCTTATATGTAATCGTAAAAAAACGTAAAAACGCCCATAAAAATAGCTAAACACAAAATGTGAAACCGCAAATTTGCATGTATCTTCGCATAGATCCAACAAACCTTCATGCCAAATTTGATGAAGATTGGTCAACCACAATATCCTTCAGTTCTGAATTTATCATTGGGTGATAGATATTATGCATCTCCATCATCATGGTGACAGTTTCGCTACCCGGATACGCTTCTTAATTGAACTATACTCACTGTGACCACGATCTTCGAATTCGTCAAACCTTGTTCTCTGATTTTCAACTATTTAAGTTATTTATAATTATATTAGGTAAAATAAACAATAATGATATGATAGAAATTTTTCACGAGATATGCTCGCAATTAGCTCTTGAGTAGTGTAATTCGAGAGCGTAGCATAAACTGCACGTTCGTCAGTGATTTATGACTTTTAATGGCCCAACAGTGGTTAGACAGGTTTAAAGAGCAATAAAACAATAAAAGTTGAGGATAAATACATGTATAGTGTTACCTGTTTATAACTATTGAGGATAAACAAGTGTAGTTTCATGTTACAATCTGAAGAAAAAAAAGGTTTATTTAGATTTTTTGGGTGGTTACGAAGTCGGTCAAATTGTCCAGCCCTGTATGGAGTTAGGGTAGAGAATATAACAGATAAAATTTGAATTTATAAAAAAATTAAGAAAATGTCAAATTTCTTTAAGAGGTTTTAAAGATTATACAATTGAAATTTGAGACCTTGTATAAAACTATATACTAGCACAAAATGGTCAGGGTGTCTGTCCCTGGGATCTAGCCCATACTGAGAGAGTTAACATAAGATATTTATAAATTTCATGTGATTTATAATTTATTTTTGGTTTCTGTATGGGCCCTTGGTAGTCGCCCAAACCTTAATTGGTCACAGGAAGTCACGTTTTCTGCCTGAGAAACTTGCATGCCACCAGCCTCGTGAAAACTTCCACCTAAAATTTAAGTGAACTTTCGCTAGTGCATGATGATGTATCATGCAGCAAAACTCTTCACCAACAGGAGAGCAACACACCTCCTTTCGCGATGCTCCCTCTACATTCATGTGTGAAGAGGCAACCAATATATGTGCACTGGGAAGTGGGGAAGAAGAGTGAGTACACAGGTATCTATCGGAAATTTTCACTTAAGGAAAATGCTTACTTCTGATATGTACACTCACCTTCATACACAAATTAGCTAGAATTCCAAATTGAGATAGCGGAGGTATCAGTGCAAAAGTTACTTGGATGAGCCTCCTTTCGAGAGCACCAAAAGGAAGCCCATGGGGTGCAACACGCTATGGTAGGGGTTCCATAGGGACACACCCATGACAGATTGCATCTCATCAAGGGTTTACTCTTCACCCGAGTGAAAGATAGGGAGAGGCAAGAAGCCTAAAAGGTGTTGTGAGGACAGGAACATGACCATTTGAGAACTTACACAAACTGTTGGATGGTCAATGTGTGTAGTGAGGTTGGGATATGATCCGACTGTATCTTGTGTGCTCACCTCATCAACCATCAGTCTCTACAAGTCAGTACCAGTTGTGGGAGAAGAGCACAAGTGTTTGTTTCTTTGTTTGTAATTAAGTACAAAGCTACACAATGGGCTATCTGTGCTCTGCCCGCCACGGGTATCAAAATGGTTTCTAGTGTTGTAAGTCTGAAGACGTATCACTGTGCTACTGGGGGATTGGAACAGGTGAAATGTATCTGTGTGCAGCTCCTCAACTGTAAGACTTAAAGGGCCCATGCCAGTCACGGGAGGAGGGCACTGCAGTGGATATAACACAGAAGGATACTAATGAAACCACCACTTAACAATCAAACTCTAAGTCTAAGGGTCTTTTTCTAGCTGTGAAAGTAGGATTAATGAGTGATACATCAAAGTTGGATACTAAGACATCAATTACTTTGGAAGAGTACACTGCAGGACTCAGACCATCTGCCCTGGCCCAATCAGTGCCCACTGTGAGATGGCATGTTCCATGAGACCACTAGAGTTCTATTAGTGGTGTTTATATCACCTTTGTCAGTCTGATCCAGACTCTATGCATTCCATGGACTATCATGGAAAAGGCCAGCACCAAAATTGTGCATCTGCCCATTTCTCTGGCTAGCACTTGCTAGCTTTTAAAAATAGGGATTCATGGTTACCCATTGTACTGTCTCCAGTAAACGACTTTTCTGGACTGAAGAGTCGATGAGGATCTGGGCTCATTCTATAGTTCTCTCCTATGTGAATTCTCGCCATCGAGTAAATCATGGAAGACCCTTGCCACTGGAGTGGTGGACCATGGAGAATCATCACTGATTGGAACCTAACAGTTGGTGCTAAAACAAGGGTCCCTTTATGGTGAGGTGTGAGGCAAGAGTGTAGTGCAGACCACCCCAACCTTACCTAGCTATATCACAATCTCCAAGTGGATGTTGAAAATGTATCTCCCTTACTCTGTTTCTCCTTTACCTATTCTTGCAAGAGCATTATGCTTTTCATTATCCAGGCCTGATGTGTAATTTTGGTTAGGTATAACATATGAGGCAACACTAGCCACCTAATGGGAACCAAATGTAGAAAGAAAGTATATGGAAATGAATACTCTCACCCATTAAAGTGCATGGTCAACTCAAGGAAGTCTGTATACTACTGAAGACGAGACAGCCAGATGGTAGAGATAGTTTAATGTGGGATAGTCCACATGCCAGCCCAGAGAAAAGTGAGAGAAATTGGAAGAAAAAAAACTGAAGAGAACATACAATCATCTGCCTTCAGAGGGGTATATACAAGATGTATGAACTGGTGAATTCAACCTATAAAGGGATAAGGAGAGAGGCCCCTAGGTATGAAAGGACAGTGCATGGAACAAAGAGGAGGAAGTGTTACAAAACACTGATCAACCTGGACGGGACAAGAGCATCTGTATGGATCAAAATTAACACCAAAAAGAGAAATAGAAGGAGAGGATATGGGAGAAATGGAGTGACCACTGTCCTCAGCCATGGAATATGAGGGAAGGAAAGGTCAGCTAGGATGAAGCAGAAAGGAAGGGCACTAATGAAAAAGCAGGAGGAAACAAGGACAAAAATACGTGAACAACCGCAATCAATGGCAAGTAAGAATAGGACTAATGAGTCTAACGAGAGCAGAAACATATGCAAAAGGTTCGATATGAACTCAGGTAAGAATATGGAGAACCAGTGACAATCCAGTCAAGCAAGAAGTAGGAAGGGGCAGTAGATTAGAAAGAAGTAAACGAAGGTGGAAAAGAACCAGAGGAGAAATTATTCTGTGACATCAGGAAAGGCAGAAGGTTGAAGAAAGGCTGCCTGAAAACCCGAGATAGAACAGACATACAGCTAATGGAAAAACCATCCTGTGAAAGAGGAGGAATATGTTACAATGCAATGAAGTCCAGAGAAATGGGGCCAATGAGACCAAGGTGAAAGTATCCCCTGTGCAATGGTACATGGAAGCAGTAGAAGGGTGACAGGAGTGGGACAGCAATGATCAGAAAGGTGAACCAGACAAATCCACATGAAAAGAGAAGAGGATGTCCTATCCCTAGGAAAGAGCAATGTTGATAAGACGGAACATAAAGTTGGGAAGGGGATATCAGGACTGAGACAAAAGGAGATAGAGTAATAGAAACCACGTCAGGATTGCCTGTGAAGGGTCACCACAGGGATCCCTTAAGGGTGTCTTGAAACAGAGCAAGGATCTGCATAATGAAAAAGATGGGCCCAGTCAAGATTGAGGGCATAGGCAGCAAGGGCTGAGGAATGAGGAACAGGAAACCAGAGTAGAGGAAGGTTAGCAATGAGGGATGTGTCAAGGCAACAAAAGGATGAGTTGAAAGCAGAACAACAGAAGACTAGTGGGTGAGGAACCAATCTGTGGTTAGGATGAGGTCATGTGATGATGTGCAGTTAAGGGGTAAGGAAAAAAAGATGAAATAATAACTACTACGAGTATGGGCAAAGGATTAAGTAGCAACAACTAAACACTGACTATGTTTGACACGATATAGAGTAAACGACTATGTCCAAACCCTATCATCTAATGGTACATAATGAAGTAATGAACCAGATCTAATGATTATAGCCTTTGTGGACATGGTAAGGAGTAATGAAATGGGACAAAACATTATCATTTTTGTGTGACATGTCAAGGAGTAATGGATGAAAACTAAACATGATCTTACCATGTACAAAGGAAAGAACTATGAATAAACATTATTCATTAAGTGGACATGTTAAGGATTAATGAAATTAGTATAAATATAATGGTAACTAATTAACTACGTCTAACATAATCTTTTATGTGTGCATGTAAAGCAGTGGTTTACTATGTCTAAAGAGTAACTGCAATAGGAACATATTAAGGAGTAATTAACTATGTTTAAATATTCTCTCTTGTGAGTACATGTAAAACAGTACTGCACTATGTCTAGACATTATCTCCATTGAATTACATGTGAAGGAGGAAGAACTAAAACCAAATATTAACATGGATGTGTACATAGCAAAGAATAATTAACCAGCTAAGCATTATATTCCATTTGTACATGTTAAGAAGTAATGAACAAGAACTACACATAATCTTCTAGGTGGATTTGTTAAAGAATAAGGAATAGAATCAAACATTAAGAATAATGTGTACATGGTAAAGTATAATCAACTCAGACTAAGCACTATCTTCCATACATACATGTGAAGAAGGAATGAACTAGGTGTAAACTTTACCTTTATGTGAACATTTGAAGGAGTAATCAACCAGAATGAAATTTAACATTTATGAGTTACATGTTAAAGAGCAACTAACTGTAACTAAACATTAACATGTTTACTTATTCCTTACCATGTATACATTAACGCCCATGTTTACATGGTAAGGAATAAATAAATACAACCAATCATCTTCTAACTGTACATGCAAAGGAGTGATGAACTGAGAAAAGACATACTATGTGGTGTATGTTAAGGAGTAACTAACTGTGACTAAACATTACCTTCTATGTGATACAAGTTATGGAATAATGAATGAGATCTGAACGACATATTGTATGTTCACATGTTAAGGAGTAATAAACAGTGTCTAAACATTAAGTACTATGAGTTACCTGGTAAGGCAGGGAGAACAAGGCATAAAACACCAGGAGCAAATTTAAACCTGAAGGAAATGTTGGGTACAGAATGAACTGGTCAGAAAGAAGAAAAGGAAAACACAGGTACAAGGTATACATAAGGTGGAGAAGAAAAGTCATTCCATTTCATACTCCTCATCTTCAGCTTCAAATTTCTGTGAAGGGAAATGTGGGGTAAGGATGGAGGAAGAGGGTCCAGAGGGCAACATGAACCTCACCACACATTGGATGATGGCTGTTACAGTTTCAATATGCAAAAACTTCCTAAAGTTTGGTAATTGTGAGTTAAATTTGTACAGAAGAAAAAGAATTCATGTTAATTTGTAAATACATACTGAAAGATTGAAAATGCAAGTAGTTGAAATAAAATACTTCAATAAGCCTCAGCAAAATTAAACGTCTTTGCACAACTGTGCTGAGGAAGAGAATGAGGAATTTCATGCATGAATGTAGAGGAAACATTTGCACAAGGTGTGTCACACTCCTATTGATGAAGGGTTATGCTGCATGGCACATTATCATGCATTAGCACAAGGTGTGTCACACTCCTATTGATGAAGGGTTATGCTGCATGGCACATTATCATGCATTAGCACAAGGTGTGTCACACTCCTATTGATGAAGGGTCTGCTGTACCGATATCGTCCTCGTCGGTCCAGCGACGAAGGAAGGAGGAAGTAATAGTTACGTAACTAAGTCGAACTAAGTAAGGTAACGTAA